GTTATCCATTTCCCTCTGTTTTTGGTACAGCTGTGCCGTATCCTGTTTCTTTACAGTGCAGAAGTGATCTTTATCCACTGTTGTTTCATTGCTTCACAAATATTTAATGCATCAAATGATCATTTTGTGGCACCGTGATGGTAAATAATATTGGTCAATTCTGAACAGGATTGTAAGTACCCTTAATTGGTTTCAGTCGCCCTTGGTGGACTAGTGGTTAAGGTGCTCGCCACTGGACCCAAGGTTCGCGGGTTCAATCCCGGCCAAGGTCGATGGATTTTTAAGGGTGATAAAAATCCGTAGCACAACTTCTTTCGGAGGGGAAGTAAAGCCGGTGGTCCTATGTCGTAGATTTACGGCATGTAAAAGAACCTTGCGAGCATGATGCGAGATGTTTCGTAAGCAAAATTCAGCGGCCATTTCTCACCCAAGTCTCTCCTGATTCACTGCTGTTTTATAATCTTACCTTATAAGATGAGATGTGTGAGCAGTGGAAGCAAGTCGATTAGAAGTTTAGTTTCAGAAAAAAACGGAGTGTACAACAGCCGGTTCTTTGAATAGTAAGATCTAAGTGTAGGCTTTTGCACAATGCCCATCAACATAAATAGAGCCAAAAGAACGTAAATTTCGTCCACTGTAACATCTTGCCACTTCCTAATCCTAGAGCGAAATGTGAGAGAATTGGCATTTTTTGATATTTCTTGCTGAGCATATCTGTTGGTTTGATCAGCAATGTGCTGCACAAGTGCTATATCGAAAATATTTTCGAATAAACTCACGACATCTAGTTCAGCAGTGTCGAACTGGGGACCACATACATTACAAAATGCTTCTCGTGAAGCAGGAAATGAGTCTATATTTTCCCACAAAATCTTGTTGGAAACCACACCTGCATGTACGATGTAGTCCTGTCGACCACGTCTACCATTATCACAATCACTATCGCTAAACACGACAGTTCCCGGTGTCAAACTGTGTATAATCAATGTCAAATACACTATCATCGTCCGAACTATATTCACTTATACTATCATCTTCTAAAACTTCATTTAAAACTTGTATTTCTTCAAGCTCCGTCAAGGGCCGACTTGTCGAAGAGAAAGCCATTGTAAACTACCAGGTCAGGCGTTTATTTTTAGACTCTCCCTTGCAGGTCATTGGAATGTAACCCTGTTGCCACATGTATACACATAGAGCTTTATTTCCACAACAGGCGAGAACAAACCTCATCGCGCTGGCGTTATTTATTCCATACTTATGGGCGTTTTAAATTAGGCTTTGAGGCTCGCGTGTGTATACGTAAAACCACAAGAACTTTAATTTAAATGCCCGCGTGTGTACACGTAAAACCACGTCTGAGGGTTAAATGCACGCTTTAAAGACTATGAAACCTCCAAAAGGAGACCCTGTGCTCCATAGGAACTAAACTAAACTAAACTTAATTGGTTTCTAAACTTTTCTGAAACTGTGGGCAGTCTGAGATTGTTCAGTCTGCTTTTAGATCTCCCAAACTGACCATGATTATGATTTCGTGGTTCCTGCAGTATGATAAAAGTGTTTTGTCGATATTGGATGGTTTCAGTAAATAAAAGTGTGTGTTAAATGCCCCAACCTTCTATTTCACTCTGGGTCTCAATACATCTGATCATGAATAATGACGTGAAAACGTTTGTTTGTAAGAGTGAAAAGTACTTAGCAAGGAGCAGTAATGGTCTTCACAAATAAATGTCAGAAAAGAAATCATTCCCTGGTGTACTATGTATTGTTCCAAACATAATTATTGAGACATTTTTAGACAAAGGATTTTCCTGAAGTCTCTTTTAAAATTATACATAATTAGCTGTATAATTATGCTGTTCTCCAGCACTTGTCTTTGTTTTAACAATGATAATCTTTTTATGTAGTTTAACTCTGTCTGATGTAGTGAGAACTATTTGTACAGTCTGCTTTAACATTCACTAACCCTGCAATTTTACCAGTAGAGCACACTTATTAGTTTTGTTTGGTTTTTAGAATAAACAGTGATAACAGTAGATTGTTTTACTAAGTATTTCTAACTGGCTCATCTGTGTAATAAGAAGATTTGGATGCTGTAGCACGCATTGAGTTCATTTACATTTTTCATTTGCTGAGCCTCTTTTTTATTTCATTTATAAAAAGCCTTAATCACTTTTTGTCCACAAGAGCCAAAAACTGTGGAGTGAAGTTGCCCAATAAACATTTTTTGAACAGATTCATGCTTTGTTCTTGTGGATTTTCTTACATTTTGAGTATTCCTGATTTCTGAATGACTCATTCACCACTGTTCAACACAGCTGGGAACAAAGGAGGGAAACAGCCTGGTGATATATTTGATGACTTGTTGGGATCACAAGGCTACCAGTTTCCAAAACGTGAAACAGGACCAAGGACCATCAATGAAATGAGAAAGGAAGAGCTAGCAAAGGATATGGATCCTGATAAACTTAAGGTAAGTCAAAATAAAGACAATAATATGCCAGTGAAGAACTACGTCTTGCATGCCAAATGAGATCACGAGGAAATGATTGGGCCACTAGCTGTCCCCCCCCCCCCCCCCTCACAAGGCTACCAGTTTCCAAAACGTGAAACAGGACCAAGGACCATCAATGAAATGAGAAAGGAAGAGCTAGCAAAGGATATGGATCCTGATAAACTTAAGGTAAGTCAAAATAAAGACAATAATATGCCAGTGAAGAACTACGTCTTGCATGCCAAATGAGATCACGAGGAAATGATTGGGCCACTAGCTGTCCCCCCCCCCTTCTTTTGTCGTGCTGTGGAAATACCAAGACTTTTTCCTGTTCATTCAAGTGATACTTGTAAGACTTGAGGTTCTCACAGCGGTGAGTATGAAGATATTACTTCATTTTGATTTTGAGCTACATACTTTTTATGAGACCTTGGCTTTGGAGTTCACAGTTTTTGACTTTCCCCAGCATTTGTAAAGCTTCTGGAGTACGCCCACTTAAGTCTTGCAGTGCCTTGTATTAGTTCAGCATGCACTGCTGCTGTTTTGTTTTCTCTGTCAATCAGGATTTCCACGGATTCGGAAAAGTGCGGTCTGCCAGATCCAACAGAGTAGTGTCATAGCGATGTTTTAAGGTTTAATAAAATAACTCAACAGATGATGGATAAAGTAAAAAACAATGAAAGTAGTATTATAATACCACTGAAGAAGACAGTGTAATTGTACCACTGAGTCATTTCCCATCAGCAGCCAATAGGACTGTGTGTTGCATTAGCCAATAAGATCCATCCATGGGCCCTAAAAATTGAACACAAAAGCTCATACTAGACACTTGAAGGTTGTATGCATTGCAGAACACCAGAGAGTTAGCTTCAAAGTTTGAGATGGTAGTTTTATTTAGGTTAGATTGAAGACCTTAATTACCTTTATCTTGAATTCACAGTCAAAGAAGATACACATTCGTAATTAGTAGTCAGTATTGTTTGTGAAGGTCTCCAACCTGTCATGGGACACTGCGCAGTGAATGAATGTAGCTGGTGTGATGTAATACATTTACAGTTGTGTCATAGTCTGCTGTGTGTCTCGTTAAACATTTAGGCAGCTGCAGTTACCAGTCAGCATTCACATTCTAGCAATAATTTTTCTATCCCCACAATTATATTAACGCTTACCCTCACATGAATCCTGTGTTCAAATGGAACAGATCAACCTGGGATTCGCAGACGGTGCCAATGTCGAGGCAGTGACATAGACCATACCTGCTTCAACTCTTCATCATACTTGTTTCAGAATGGCTGTGCCTGTGAAGGGGTAAAACAGTTTTTTCCAGGCCATGTTCATTATCTGATCACTTTTGTAAAAGTGTCATTCAGAGTTTGAAACTTCTCACTGGTTTCCATAAACACACTTGTACCATAAGTATGTTGTGCCCCTTCACAGAGCTTGCACATCTTGCATTTTATATGCTGCCTGTGTAAAACAATTTGTATTTTATTTTCAAGCTGGAAGGTAACAGTTTCTGAAGCATTTGTGAATCTGTGTAAGATAATATTTTTCCTACTTCCAGATCCTTGATTGGATTGACGGTAAGACGCACAATATCAGGGCGCTTTTATGCTCGATGCATACGGTTTTATGGGAAGATGCAAAATGGAACAAATGTGAAATGCATCAGCTGGTTACCCCATCAGACGTTAAAAAGGCATACAGACGAGCCTGCCTTGCTGTGCATCCTGATAAGGTAAGACATTCTGTATAATAACTGAGATGATAAATGTGTTTTCCTGAATTTTAGTATCGTAGCTGAGGAAAAGAGACTGTGGGTAAGTATCCAAAGGTAAAATGATATTGTATTGAGCTTTGTTTAAAAGTAATTAGTTGGAAGACCTTGTGTGTCTGTCTTCTTTGGTGGTATTACTACATGTTTTTCCTTTGAATGAAAATATTACTTAAGTAGAGGACACTTAATAATCAGTTTTGAAAACTGGCACTTACTCAGAAAAGTAGCTTAGAAACTCTTCACATATAAGAGTAGGTGAATAAATAGAATTGTTACTTACTGTTAAGTGTACATGGCATATTATTAATCTCCTAGTACTTAACTTTTTTCTACTGACTTTGGTTATTACAAATCTTCTGACCTGTTGAGGTAGGTCAGTCCATGTTTTCTTGATGGGATGCAAATGTGGCTTTCACGTTTTCCTTTCCATTGCCTTACCTGCCATCATTTTCATGCCTTATGTATCCCATGCAACTTCAAACAGAGAACCCAGAAATTAAGGTTAAGTTGATTCTTCTCACTGCCCCCACATCCGTGCCTAGGTGCAGAGCCTGGCTCATTGCTGTGTACACCCACAAAGTTCATAGTGCCCTGTAGGGGCCCAGGCAATGTTGAAAGCGGCATAACTGTTATCTTGGCTCTGCCGCTGTGATAAGTTATCACTGATGGGAGCTGGGATGTTGCCAACTGCAAGTCCGATGGAGCCACGTGGGCTTGTATTTGTCTGTGTGGTATTTTGGGGGGGCCATGGGCAGTTATTCCCATTGTAGGGGCATAAAGATTTGATCAAGGTGAAGGTCCCCACACCAGCACAGACCACGAAGTCTCTGGTGTTGGCACTCCTTCATTTCTGTCATGCTCGCACACCTCTGGAACAATCAGACATGCCTAACACATGACCATTTGTTGTGTGGTGAGCTGCACGTGTCTGTTTTAATTGTGGCGTTCCACTTACCATGTCACGTGTCCTGGTAGAATGCCCACTTCTTTGCAAAGTACACCTTGCATACCTGCATACCATCCGAATGGCACTTTACCTGCCATGCTTGGCAGTAACTCTGACAGCATTTCCAGTGTTTTGGCTTTTCTAAATGTAACGGGGCTTGTCAGGTCAGTTTAACAGACACGGTTTTATATGATTTTAGAATTTTAGTTTATTTGTATATTTTCTCTGACAAGAAAAAAGCTCTTGGTTTTAGCATCCCTTGCTTGTTACATTCACACTGGAAAAGTAAGTTTTGACATAAAATTATTATGTTTTAGTAACATTGCTGTATTACCTCCAATCCTATAGGCAGGCCTCTATACATCGCAGTCGTCAGTTGTTATTGTTCATACTTTT